AGGTCTAAACTACATTAGACATTCGTGCCATGCAGAAATAATCAGAGTTTTAAAGACTATATAATTGTGTATCGTAATTTGCCTCTATAGACTATCAAAAGGTTTTTTATTAATTAGAAAACTTAATCTAACTGTCACAGATCATCTTTTTATTACAATTTAGCGCAGAAGTCTTTTAAAAACTTAAGAAAAAGACTAGTCGCACAGAGTCATTAGATATTTCTAGACTAGAATATCTATATTTTTGTTGTGTTGAAAAATATTTCAAAAGAATTTTTCAGAAAATTAAGAACCTTGAACAGTGCTGAATAGAAAGTCCTAATTACTGAAAAAGTAAAAATAATAGAAATACAACTAGATGGTATCTTCAAGAAGTCGAGAGTATTAATTAAAGTGCTTAGTTCTCTCACCTTTTGATTCTCATGTTCAATTTGAAGAGAAAGTTTTGATTCGGCTAGTAAATAAAAGTAAAAAATCTTTTTAGGTGAAAGCATCGATGAACGTAATACTAAGAGGCTTTCAAAGACACTTATCGATTCTCGTTGTGAAAGAATATACAATATACTGAACATTTTAAGGTTTTTGTGTTATTCATGAGCTAGAATTAGATATGCTTACGACTGAATCTACGATTATTTTCATATTAATTGTCTCAAATCTTTAAAAAACCGAAGTCCATAAAAATCTGCCATTTTGCTGGTTCTCTCTAAACAATTGGATCTTGTACCAAAGATCTCACAATGAATGGTACTGATTAGATTTTGATATTTTCATTTCACATTTGAATCAATACTCACTGATTTTTCATTCTCGAGACTGTTGCGTCAAAAGAAAATTACAACTTTTGATGTCTGTCAAGCAAAGCATAAAGAAAACTTGCAACGAACCCCTATACTACTAATCTTCTTAAGTTAGCTCATACAATTTTTCATAACAACCAATGAACACATATGACAAAGCCAAAATTCTAATTATTAGAAAACAATACTATCCATGGGAAACTAATCTATTTATTAATTTAAGACAGTATAAGTTTAGATTCATCAAAATAATCCGTAAGCAATGAAGCAGAATTTCAAGCTACTCCAGGTACTAATGTGATTTGATTTATTTCTGTCAGTTTTTGACGAACTTATAATGTAAATTAGAATAGGTTTATTATTAGAACTCAAATATTAGCGAAACAAGAAAATGCTTTTCAAGTATCGTTTGGTCTGTTTCGTTACTAAACATTTTCTACAATATGCAAAACAATAAAAATCTTTTTTCTTGAATCATAATTATATACCTCACTATTTTATTGCATTAATTTATATTGATTATGTACAAATAAAGAATTAATTGAAAGACGAAAACTTATAATCACTAAGGACATGCTTTCTCATTGAAAAACAAACGATAAACACTCTTCTAAAAGTCCGAAATCTACGAGCATAATAATTCCCATGGAACCACAGGTGGTTTAATTAATATTCATTTCAAAATAATAGAATGATGACCTTTTCTTATAAATCTCCAACAAAAATAGCTATTAATCTACGACTTTTACCATTAGCATGAGGCAAGGAATTTGCATTTTCTATATAATAATTAAGAATACTATGTCACAAATCGGATGAGCAGAGTGTGAATGTTTTGTTGAGAATGAAAAGAAGATTAAAACCCATCCTCACACACACACACCAGAAACAGGTTCTCGGCTATTTCTAATTCAGTCGTGATTCTTATTATCTTTTACAATACAATGCGAAAACAGAAGAGTCAAAATATTTGTTGTGTACGCCTAATGATGGTTAAAATTAAAGTTTTAGAATCTGAGACCATTCGCTTGAGATCACTTTGAAGAAGAAAATCAAAATCACCACTAATTTAGAAATAGTCGAAAACCTATTTCTGAATACTTTATGAAGTGATCCGTGCTCATCTGACGGATTTAAAGGGTGTCAGAAAAATGCTCATATCTTCTGGACCGAACAAGATATAAATGCCCTTTGTGTGTCACTCGAAAGAGCTAAATTTTCTAAGTTCAATGGTCACTTCTTGTATCGAAATTGATCAGAATAAAGTGCTATTCTGTCACTTTCAAAATGTTCATCGATAAATGACCAACACTAATTATTGGCTAAGTCATTGATTCTTACTTCAATTGACGTTTTCCATTGTCCTCTTTTGATTGTGAAACACTGTAAATATCTAGTGATTGCCAAATGAGAGTTATTCAACTTTCTTTCACCTGCATGGTATTTTGAAATGGAGAGTATTTCATATATGTCTCTTACTCTCACAAGTGTAGGAAAAGATATGTTGCGTGTTACTCAGTACAAAAAGAATTTCTATAATCATATGTTTATATAATCAATTTCACCTGTGAGAATGATAACACAAACCTCATTGGATGACGTGAATGAATTATATAATTGTTCTCAATATTTGAATTTAAAAAATATATAAAATTTGAACGAATCTTAGGATTGATGAATGTTTGAATGCAGCTGTTTGTAATTGATTTATACAGATCTACACCAGAAAAGCACCCACCTCCATCCACACTCCAAACATCTGTGTGAGATGTACCAGCTGAATCATATCGATCTGTACAATAGTATTTGAATTATAGCGTATTAGCGAAGAAGCGCAATAAAAGCAAAGGCAAAGATGACAAATAAGTACATAAATCGACCAAGAAAAAAAATAATATGTTGTTAATTGAAGTTTCTTTATTATACAAAGTGCATTTTATTCGATGTATAATGCATGGTATAATCTTGGCCAATTGTTTACCTACTATTGTGTCATTACGAAGTATATTTTTGTAGAATGGTGATGGTAGAACATAAAGAAAGAAAAGACTAATTTGTGATGAAAATGAAATATAATAAGCTATCCGAATAAAATGACTAAATCATGAAGTAAAATCATAATCACAAATATTAAGAAAGAGAATGATTAATTGTGGTAACTGTGTAATAAAACATATTGTAGGACCAAGAAGGAGATCGATTCATTTGCGTCTGTGTAGTACTAGTGCGCTGCGTGCTGGAACATGATGACTGTTTGCTTTTGAGCAACTAACAACAATTATAATAACCAAAATCGACGATTATATTTACCAAAAATGATATAACCTGCTGAGCCATTGACATATATTGAATGGATGTACGTGTGAATGTGTGTGTGAGTATTGGTATGTGGTGTAGAAGTGGGTATGGGTGTGGATAGCATCTTCCATCTAATGGATGTCCCATAATAAATGGCCGGTTTTTCTATTTCTTTTTTTATCATCTAGTACGTTTATTTTTGGAAACAGAATATGCCACGAGATGCAAGGTGAAAAGCTTCACAATTTACATAAGATCATTTATTGGTTGTACAGAACTCTGCTTGTTTTAAAAACAAAAGGTACATATATAAAATAAATTATTCTTTGTAAATAGTAGAGCTTTTCATGCCGTATCTTATGGTATATTTTGTTTTATTTTTAATAAAATGTATTAGGTAATGAAAAGATGAAATGAATTACTCGTGTAGAAAAAAAATGAGCTTTTCGCAGCGTCAGAAATTGGTCACAGAGAAATTTGCTTATTTTAAAAACAAAAAGTATATATATATAATAAATTGTTTTTTGTAAATTGTACATCGTTTCGCGCTGCATCTCATGGTATATTTTGTTTTCAAAATAAACGTACTACTAGTAAATCATAAAAAAAAGAGATAGAAAAACCGGTCATTTTTTATGGAACACCAGTTACCTAAACTCACACCCACCCACACCCTCACCCACACCCAACTTTTTTGTAAGATTTACCGCTTTCAGATCTGATTCAGCTTCGACACTGATCTTGATCCCGCTATGGCCTGAAGTTAATTCTAGGATGGTTTTCAAGGATGTCTAGAAAATGGTTTTGTTGCAAATTTTCTGTTATTCCTTAGTGTTGAATTGCAGAATGACAATGACGGCTACTTTCATCTTGAAGGAGATATAGATGAGAATAATAAAGCAATCCAGAATATCATATTCTGAGACTTCCTGGAGATATAAATCGACCAAAATTTCTACCTATAATGATTAATTGATCAAATATTTAATATGGAATAAAGTTTGACTTATATTTCACTAAAAGAAAACTATATTGAAATACTGATTCAAACTATTCACAAAAACCCTTTATGATGAATGGGAAAGGAAGTTAAAACGAACTTGGTACAATATAATTTTAACATGAACTCATTTATTGGTGTGGGTGTTGAAAAAATAGAAGAGATGTACCCACACCCACATCGATACCCACACACCTCAAAATCTGACAAACTATATAACCGAAAACAAATTTCATATTGTTTGATAAATAGTGAAAGATAGTATTCAATAGATCTGACCTAATCTTTTAATCACTTCACTATATCGTAATACTACTGTATTACAAATATTAATGGATAATACGAAAGATCTTTATTTATGTTGTAAAGAAGCTTAAAACAAAGATGAACAGCTGACAATGGAATACCATCTCCTGTTATATTGTTTTTTCTATGTATTCAACATGTTTGAGAGAATCTACAAAATAATATTTATGTGCCAATACCTTACTTGTGCTTCATATCTATGCCATATAGTATTTATTGTTTTGTTATTAGCTTTTCACAGTAATAATTTATTATTCGTTACTTTATTACTTCTTAATTACTCTTATTACTACATAATAAGTAATAAAAATTCAAAAGTAACAAAAGTACTTACTAATAAAGTGATGGAAAACCACTTCATATTTCTCTAATAAAAAAGAATAAAACCTCCAACAGTATTAAAATAATAAAAAGAAAGCAATGATGATAAAAAGATTAAGTGATAAAAGCAATAATAATTGTTTATGAATTACTGAGCAACAGAGATAGAAAGTAATGATAATGTAGCATATCTATTCATAACACACTACTGTCTTGTTATTCTATGACAAGTTCTTTGATTATTCTATTGTCATTTGTTCTAATTCGAAAAAATGTTAAAGATACGCTTGACGATTCCACATCGGCGGCAACTGCTGAGTGTCATCTTCACTACGATTAGCATATTGATTTAAAGTGTACTTTTGTCTTTGAAATAAAGCAACATTATCAACAATAGCAGAATTGTGCTTAAGTTCCCTTGACTCTTGTCTATTTGAGTGATAAATCGAATTTGCTGCATTATCATGAGCAGAGACAGATTGACGGCTACTATCTGTTCGATATTTGTCATCAGCGTTTCGTGTGCACTTACGAATTAACGAGGCTACACATGGTAAAATCATTACTTCAACTATAACAAATATAAGCACAAACATTCCAATAATCATTGTTATAAACAGGAAATCATGATAAATCATTTCAGGTAATCTAGCAATTGGTGATTGCTCATTTTGTATATAATAGGGTGTTTCACTGATGACCAGTATCAGATTTGTTGACGTCTTAGGTGGCGCATTCAAATAATCAGTGTCTGTCATGAATGATTCGTAGTAATTCACCGTAAATGAACCAATCCAAATACCACTCAGTATGTCATCCTCACCTTTTACAAGTGGACTTGTACTATTGATTACTTTTGTCAGTTGAAGCGCGATACGGGCGTCTTGTCCAAGCATATGACCACTTTGATTGAATGTTTGTGAAAAACCTAAATCTTGAAGCGTTATTGTAGAAGTTTCTTTTTTACCGGGAGCACTCAGACCTACACGAAGTCCACCAATTGTATATATGTTTGGTAAAGTAAACTGTACAGTAATTGATCTAAATGGCAAGAGAGCACTATATGAAACTATGTAGCTTGACAATTTACAGGAGCGATTTGGTGACACTGGCAACCACGTTGCACCTAAGAGATAGGTCAATGTAACTTCATCTGATGTGCAATTGTAAACTGTATTGAGAAAAGAGACATCGAGATTGACTGCTTGATCGTTTAACAAGTCTATCATGCCTTGAATATTTTCTTCAACTGGTACTGATAAAGATCGTAATGATGAAGAAAATTGTGCATTACGTATACTTGTATCACAGGTATACGTCGAAGGTCCAGATGTTTCAATCGGATAAGAACTATAATATTTAGCACTGAATACACAGCAAGAAACACAGAGCACGATAACACAAAACGTAGCAAGGCCACCGGCCCACATATTACCTTCACGAATGATATCTGTTTGTTTAAATACTTTCTCAAATAATTTATAACTATTTATAGCTCTTGGATTTTTAACACAGTATTTAATCACAAGCATGACACTTACAATAACAATTACAATAGCAGCAACGATTATGGTCCAAAAGATTGGTGAAAGAGCAACACAGCGTGCAGACGAACCAATTGAAAACAGTGTGAAAAACAGAATATCATCAAGTCCAGTGATATCTGGAGATTTTGGATAGGCAACTGTTTGAGTGACGTTGTTGAGCTGATCGTTCGAGATAGAATCGCTTGCAGAACCAAGCGGACAGAATGTGTTTATTGCACAATCGACACAAGTTGTTATTGTACTGTTGATTCCATCATTTTTTGTTCCTGCCGGACAGAGAAAACAGCGACGAATACCTGTTACATTCTTATATGTACCGGGCATGCAAGATACTTGTGAGGAGAATGCCGGCATAATTTCAACAGTTGGTCCAACTGTTGAGGAATAATGACCAATAGGAGCTGAGAGAATGACAAAGAGACCGCCTTGGTCATCAAGGAGAACTAAATCTAGTGAATTTGTGATGATATTGAGAAAGACAGAAGACATGTAACTGTAAAGTGGCTGTTGACTGTTGGGAAAGATGGAGACAGGTCTCGAGGTATTCGCCAATGGACTGTCGTAAACATAGATTTTTGAAGAACTCCAAACATAATTTGTTGAGTAGACATTAGCAAGAATGACAACACTGTTGAGAGTGTCATTAAGCCAAGCAACACCTTTGCCGAAACCAAGTCCTCGACCGTTGTCTATTGAAGTAACTAATGTCAGTGTTAGCGTTGCGTAACTGAGGAGAAAAACTGTATTCATCGACTGAATACCGATGAGAACTTGTGTAGCTGTTGGATTTATACTGACAGACATGTCAAATTTAGGATCATGCTGATCAGCACCTGCATTTGTCTGTCCAGCCTGCCATGTTGTATCATTTGTTGGGTACTTCCATATACTAATATTTGTGGCAATGGTTGTTAATGCATCGATACTAAATAGAATAGCAGCTGCACGGTATTTGATCCCTATTAAAACACAGAAAGAGAACATAAGAGTTGAGAGAGTAATATGTTCCTATGTTTTTATTGGCTTCTTCTACATACGTGAACTTAGACCATTGCTGAGAAAGCCAGCAATAATACCGTGACTACCATCGTAATCAACGGCATATGGTAGGAATGCTGTTGACGGAGAAAGTGAATTATTCAGATGAATGCTTAGATTGTTGTTAGATGCTGCATAAGAAAATGTAAAGCGATCGGAGAAACCATAGGCAACCAAACCAAGAGCATCAGTTGTCATCACTAAGTGCTCCTGATGAACGAAGCGTATCTCCACATATTTTATGGCTAAATTGAACTCACAATCAATTGTAAGAGGAGAGCCTGTGTAATTGAGAAAGCCGACAAATGTGCGATTCGCCAATTCATCATCTTCCTCCAAACCAGTCATTTCACCAACGAAGAAAAAGCTAAATGTTGATGGATTTTTACCGAGAGCAACAGCATAAACATACTGCGAAGGGTCATCATATTCAATGTAACAATGACGGCTATCGCTCTGTGTAATATCATCGGTGTAGGGTGCTAATTGAATGTTAAATAAACTAAGATCATTTTGAGCTTCAACAATCATCAACTTATTAGCAGCTATCTTCAGTCCATATGCATCGTAATCGTTAGCGTCAGGCGAAAAAACCGAGGCAGACGAGAGACATATGAAGAATGCGAGAAGTAAGAGTAATTGAGGCGGGATAAACATTTCAATCTACTTGCAAGGAGAAAACGAAATAAAACTAGAGAAGAAGTCACGTTTCATATAGTCTTTCATTTAAACAGATCGTTTTTCCTAAGAACACTATCTGAAAATTATTTCCAACAGACAATACATCCTATTCCACGACGTTGAAAACTGCGGATTCAATTCTACATTTGAAACCAACTTCACCCAATCCCAACAACTCAAATTATCGCTCCATATAGGAGGTCTAATCGACATTGATCAAGTTTCATCAATGTCCAGAAATCCCGAAATCGAGTCAAGATGGAATTACTCGCGATTTCCAGAAGTTCCGTCTGATTCTGTTGTGCCATAAGTTTCGAAATTACTTCTTGCTCTCATTCTCATGCACAGTGATGTGGTCAAAGCTTGATCTCTAGAGTAAGTAAGTGATGCTGGGATGAAATTCTCGAACATTGATGGAACTCGATTATGCCAATTAAGCCTCTTATGTTGAGTGATGAATGAGTTCTCGAAAACGGATGAGACTGATTTCGAACACGCGACTAGTTCCACAATGCTCAACGTTGGGGAATAGCATGACTGCTCTTCTGACAGTCATTACACTTTTGAATCAGAAAACTGTATATTTTTAGTAGGTATGTTAATTTCTTCTGTAAAAGATCATTCTTCTCTCTCTCTCTCTCTCTCTATTTCAAGTTCAAAAATAACAACAACAACGTCAATGTTACTCTGATTGAGACCATATTTTGTCCTTATTGATTCGTTTCACATCAATTTTCTTTCTCAAAAATGGTCCGTGATAAAAAATAAATTGTTTCAGAACTTACTCATCCCTAATTAGCACTATATTGGTTTACCAATTAAGATAAACCTCACAACTTTGAACTATAGTTACATCTTGCATTAGTATTTCATTATATGGTGGTTTTGATGAATGTCTACATGATATAACTAGTATGGAAGATGATGTGATAATGTAATCTTTCGTAACTTTCTTAATAGTATATTCTCTCATTCGTTGCCTTTCGAACTATAACTACCAGAATGAAAAGAATCAGACGTAAGATCTTCAGATTAGATTTCTGATCTTGTATGATCCTGTAAGATGAGACGGGAATCATACAAAAATCTAGTGTCTGCAAAGCTTACGTCGAATTTTGATGTGAAATTCCTCCAAGATCATATTATCTGTAAGATATTGAAAGAATAGTATATCAATACTTGATGTAACTTCTACAAACACTACGATTTTTTATGCAATTTTCGTCAAATCTTACCGGCTTATACAAGATCAGAGATATGATCTTGAGTGACTTTACCGTCTGCTTGTTTGACCTGGGTACTGATTGATTTAAATCAGTTGACAACTTGTCCACAGGTAACTCACTCATCCATTTTCAGCTTCTGATCCTCATAATTCCAGATTTGTATTTAGTGGCGTGCTGAAACTTCTGTCATCAAGAGATTATTTGAAGACCTATATGTGTCAAAATTTTGACTTCATTCGGTAATACTAATACAGTTGTAAGGTGGTAGATAATCGTGGTAATGCGCTCATTTAAAAAACCCTTACGATTACACGCTTGCAAACAACTTTATATTCCTACAAATTTCTGTGCGTTAAAGAAAATATTTTGATATGAATTTATAGCTGAGACGACGTTTTGATAGTGACAAGATCTGCTTTTCGAAAGGTATGGGTGGGTGTGTGGGAGCGTGTGTAGGTGTTCATTTGAAAGAAAAGATGTACCCAGACCCACGCCCACAATGACGAGATTAATTCATACCTAATGTTTTGATCTTTGTTCTTCCACCAACTAGAGCAAATAAGAAGAAACAAGTATCGTACACTTATATACTTTAATATGCTTAACAAGCTAATCATATTTGAATTTAAAAAACCTGAGCTTCAACTTTGGTCACGCTGAGTTGCCGCTAGCCGAGCAAATCGTTGACATATTCCAGGAGAATCAATCCAACAGTTCCGATTGGAAGCTCTAGGAATAATGCCCGAAAACGGATGACGGACTTCTGATCATATCGTTTTGTCGAAAACTACTTGCATCGTACTGTTCTACGCGGTTGAATCTCATTATTAGAATCCATTGACATCCCAATGTAGGAAATCGATAGAAGGAGTGTGCGAGGGTGGGTGTGGATGTGGATGTGCAAATGTCTCTCTACTGCACTCACAGCCACACTTCGCTCAGTTGAGTTCAGAAGAGCTGTTTGAACAGTTCTTTTGAGCTGATCTGAACTGTAAGAACAGTTCAGATCAGTTCACAGAACTGAGCGAATAAGAGCTGATAAATCTCTACAGGTTTTCAAGGCCTATCCTTGGCGGATACCCATAAGTCCTCAGGAGTTATCCAATACGAGTGCTCATAACTCTTGAAAGCATATCCGGGGGAAGTATACATGAGTCTTCTAGAACTATCGAAGAGAGATTCTCATGGTGATGGGTACAAGACATTGTAATCAGGTTACGAGTGAGCGTCTGGTGGCAAGTTAACTTGGAATGCAGGAATGGAGATTTGGGGATTTCATGCTCACAGAAAAGAAGGACCGTTTTCGGATTGTAGCCATTCTTTCTTTTAGTTTTGGAAGAGTTTTCTTTGTCCTATATATTGGAAAGTATAATTGCCGATTTGCAGTTGAATGTCAGTGTTTCGTAAAATAAGAAGAGGTGCGCTGTTCTCGTCGATCGAGCGTAGTAAGGATGAATAGTTTCATTGTTTTCCATAACATGTACAAATTAGTGAAAGTCGTAGTGCTGACATATCTCGCTTGGTGTAGAGTTTTCGCTTACACCAATATGGACTCATCCTACTGTTGTTTAGGTCATATGAGAGAGAGTCACTGATAACCTGTGATGACTCCGAACAAAGCTGATTTTTCCTTAGAATAACAAGAAAAAGTTCCAATGAAGTTTGATTGTTTAGGTGCTTCTTCTGTCACACAATGACGACAGAGCAAAGTAGTTTATGATTGCATAGAAAAAAGAAAGTTGCGTCCGAGCGATAACCTTCCTAAGTCTCATTAATTGATAGGAAAAGCTCGTGGGTTGCCAGATTTCAGTGGTACTTTATTCCGTTATGACAAGAATAAAACATTATGCTGATCGGCTCAGTTGAAAGAGATCTCGCGGTAACCCAACATTGGCCCGAACAGTGCCATGTTGTGTCGTTATAAAAGCGAACGAAAGTCATTCCAAAATGCAATTGATCGTCAGCTTTTCTAGCAACTAATCAGATTTTATCAAGTCACTACATCTCTTTTGACACAACAAAGCATCATGTGCTTGAAGTAGCTCTGACTTAAGCGGAGTTCTGACTTATGTGACGAGACTTACAACATGCTTTTCCGCAACTATACCGGAGAAATCGACTCCTATCACCAGACTACCCAATAGAAAAAGTGCTCGGTCAATCAGCTTCCCACATGACTAAACCCCATCACTATAACGAGAAAACCTGGTGTTACTTGGACAAACTTGAAATTATCAGGGATCCTGTCTAACTCCAGCTGAGCAGCCGCGAATTGTATCCTTAAAATATCGGACAACAAGTTCCTTGAGTCCTACCGTCTGATAAAAACAGCTCTTCTCCAATTAGGATAAAGCGCAGATTTTCTGAGCCATCGTTAGTACAAGAGATAGGGCTGTTTCAGCGAATACAGACTCAACCGAACCGCTCAAGATGATCCGTACGACTACATGCTAAATCAATACTTGAGAGAACAGAAACTCAAAACTGACTCATATTTGTCACACGGTATCTCTTCCGCAGGACACTAATTGTAAAAAGAAGCCACTCACTTACGTGGCTGAATTCGTTCGGATGAGGAATAATGGTCCACTCTTACTTCTTGAGGCAAAATTCGAGCGCACGAGTTTTACGCCAATCCCTCACCCGGTATTCAGCACCATATGAAGTAGCACTTATTGAATGACGTAACAGTAACTTTCCTACTATAGTTAGATGGACTACCTATGACAGCTCATGAACAGTTATGAGAACAATCGCTAGATAGACTTCGAAGATTTATCAGAACTATCCGTAAATTTTTCTGAAAAGGTTAGGAGTATCACAACTCGATAGTTCCTGAGGACTCATGGGTGCTCGTGTGGGCACCATCTAAGGGAAATGCACGAGTTAAGGGAAAATATGGACGCCATGATGGAAGCAAGAATGGAGTGATTGGATTTGCTAAAAATTTTTCAACTAGAAATCATTATAGTTAATGATGATTCACACTAAAATCGTCAAAGTCCTTCTAATAGCTTGTAATTAGTAATAGAATATTAAAGAAAATGTTTAAAAAAAAGGAAGAATTGAGAAAATTGTTTTTTTATTGACTTTTTTTACCAAATCTCTAGTTAATTTTATTGAAATATTCGTCTTATAACAAAACTTTGTCACAGTATTCTGAAATCGTTTAGAGCTATTGATGAAATATATAGATGCCAGAAATCGTAAGTCTTGAGGATGAGAGTGGAGATGCATAAGTGCTGGTGGAGTCATTGAGAAAGAGAATATTTCATATCTATGCTGTTCTTTGACAAGTGAATAGTAGAAAAATTCGGTGATCAAAAATATTTTCATGCTCAGATATAGATGCCTCGCCTATTCCAATGTGAATCATCACTCACTATAATCATTTTTATTTGAAAAATTTGCAGTTAATCCTATTTCTCCATTCGTGCTTCCATTATGACGTCCATGTTCTCCCTTAACGCGTGCATTTCCCTGAAACGGTGCCCACACGCCCGCCTAGGATTGCCATTGCGGACTTGTGGCTCCCCCTATAGAATAGCCGTTGAGGGCTTATGGGCGCTCCCATTGAAAACCTCTTGAGGGCTTGCGGATACTCCGGAGGATAGACCTTGAAGA